TTATTTTGTGATTTCAACTTAGGCTATGTTGAGATTACAAGAAAAATGCAGAGTTGCGATGAAAAGATACGGACAAAGCAATGTGTGTTCACATGAACAGGGCCTGTCAAAAGTTAATAAAGAAGTATATTCGCATTCACTATAGATATGACTGTCGACTGATTGACAGACTGCCTGTAGTGTCACATACAATCATGTGATGGTCAGTAGGTACATACCCTTTCTGTTTTCAGTGCCGCTAATGTTGTAGTGTTTATGCATTTCCTAGTGTGTTTTCATATTTGCTGTTTTGTTTTTGTATTTATGTTGTGTTTTTGTATTTGCTGGCATGTTTTTTTAATTTGCTGTTGTGTTTTTGCCTTCAGTGCTTCCGTAAATAGTGTTAAACTTTCAATAACTTATTACAGGCCTTAAATTTAATTTAGTAATTTTAATTGAATTCCAGGCAGGTGAATTCATAAAGAAGCAACCAATAATTCACCCAGCTAACTGTGCTACCTATACTGCACTGTGTTGCTTTATCCTGCAAATTATTGTTGGCTTGTAATTACATTACAACACTTTGTACCATCACTCCTATTCCTTCACTCAGAAACTCTCTATAAACAAACTAATTATGAGCTCTTGCCCCAGCCAAGCTCCAGAGGAACAAGCCAGTGCCTCATAACAGGTCTCTATTGAAGATTTTGTTGCCTGAATTATGTACCTCTCAGAGACAGATATGCATAACATGAGGCAGTACTCCATGTCTGAGTGTGAACTCATGAGTGTGGATTCATGACCTACTGTCACTAGTTCAAAGAGAACCCAAGTACCTCAGCATTCAGGACAGAATTGGTAAACTGGTTCTACTTTATCATAGGAGAAGTAGTCTTGAACTGAAAGCCCTATATGACAGAATTGAATTCCTGGAGAGGTAGTCTGACATAAGTGTTGATGAAATGAAAAAGGTTTCAATAGGTTGACCCTACTTCCAGAGGGAGGTGTATTGCTCACCTTCCAGAACAGGCCTTTTCTGATGAGGAACTAGAGCCTGATAGCCAGGAAGCCCCTGGAACCATTGGTTTGAACCCCTTGATCATGGGAACTTGAACTTGAACTGAACTTTATTGTCATTCAGACTGTACAGGAAGGAGTGCACAGCTGAACGAAATTGCATTTCTCCAGGTTCAATGTACAAACTTAAGCATAACACACGCTATCCACGCCAAATAAACATAATGGACAGATACACAGACAAGTTTAGACAGACTAAAATAAATATTCTACATTATAAAGAACATTGCACCTTGTTGTTGCATTATTGCACAGTGTGGGAGGGAAGAGAAAAAATATTCTATAATGTGTGGGGATGGTCCATTTTGTTTTCCAGCAAGTGGATGTTAGACGACAAAATAATTGTCAGCGCATGTCCATAGGGGTTAGCTTTTAGCCTAGCACTGATCTCCACTCAAGTGCTGCATTTTCGTAGTCTCTCACACCGCTTTCGTTGCTTCCTGGTGCAGACAATGTGATCCATAAAGAAAACACCAACCTAACGAATGCCACCAAGCTAACGAATGCCAAAGATTGTAGAAGAAATCATAAGATCAGACACTGCCACTACTGTTCAGACATTGCAAGTACACTTGGCCTATAGCTTTGGTAGCACAATTCCAGTTTCAGTCCAACCACACACTGAGACACAAAATATCTACCAGCTAAAACCTGTCTTAAATGCAGACTTTGGAAAACAATGTCCATGTTAACATTTGCCCCACCTGTTAACATGGACCACTAAACATTGGACGTCAGATAGACGTGCAGATCATATCTATATTGGGTCCGTCAGTCCATGACCAATTCTGGACATCTATACAACGTCCAAACTAGGTCCACAATTTGAACATCCATCCATGACCCAACTTGCACGTCAATATGACATTCAACATTTGAACGTAATTTTTTTGGACGCCATGTGGATGTCTATGTCAGGTGCAGGAAATATAGTTTTATTTACAAATATCAACATTGTTGTTATCAACATAATACATGTGAATACAGATTATTTATAAACATGATTTATTATGTTTTAGCCTATTGATTTATTCAGTATGGGGATTTTTTGTTCCTGTTTTTCTTTAACTGGTTTATTTATTTCAATTAATCAACTTATTTGTTTATTCATATATGTATTTATCCATATATTTGATTATTTATTAGGAAATGCAATTTGTGGGAAATTAGAGTTCCAAAAATAATTTCATGATAGCTGATATCCACCCTTAAAAGTGACGCCATGACAGTCATTCCCGGTCGATGCACAAGAGAGGCAATGATGGCCACAGCAGAAGGTCAAGGACCAACCAAAAGATTCAAACAGTGAACGCCACTCTGATTGGCTGAAGCAACAAGCCAGACATTTTGCCGCGATTCTGCATGTTCATAGCAATGCAAACGGCTGCACAGCTTTTCAGCCTGCTTCGCAAGTTCACTACATAAATCCCTATTGTGAGTCCACCCATCGTTTTCCTGTAAACTGAAAGTAAGTTTGGTCAGCCTAGTAAATTCTATGTCCATTTGTACATATAGTGTTAGCTAGTTTAGCGTTATTGTCTTAAATTCCCAAAGCTGCTGTGGTTACAGAAATTAGCATGTCTTAACGGCACAGATTTTTTTGTTTTGCGTTAGCTTGCTGTAATGTACAGCACTCTTAGTTCAGAAACCAATTACCAGTTATTGAAATGAATGGTTCTTTGTGGTCATACAGATATCATTTGAAGCCACCACTATCAAGCATTCTTAACCTTCAGAACTGGTTGAATTACTCATATACCTTAATTAACCCTAATGGAAGTAAGAATATGGTGATTTAACAATTTTAAACATCTGAAATTTTGTCATTTTAACTATTTAATTTTGTATGTATATATATATATATATATATATAAAACATAATGTTCTCCCTAACAACACAAATGATGCAGCATGTACTGTATGATATGAATGCACTACACTACTCCACAGAAGAATATATTTCATATTAGTAAAGTCCATAGTTTTTGGAAGCGCTAGGTGCAAACACAAAGAGCAGGGATAGGAGTGGAACACCAACCCAGGAGTTGTGAGGGAACAGTGCTGACCACAAAACTAAGATGACGCCCATATATGTCTGACCATTTACCTGATCCATCCACAACTGTCTATGTAAGGCACTGGAACAAAATTTAAATATAATTTATTTCAGGACCCTGGACAGCCACAACTTCAAATATCACTAGTCTATCCACCAGATTTAAATCTGAAACTACATTATGCAGGTTGCTTAAGTTGAATATAATTAGATGTATGCTTAGCCCTACATTTTAAGTTAGATGTTATAAAATGTAAGAACTAAGCTAATATAATAAATAAAAACATGCTGCTATAGCATAAGTAATTTATGTCTTATGCAGGAATCACAGCTATTGAACTCAATTTCTGATATTATATTAAAATGAAAGAAAACATCTGTAGTAGAAACTACAGTTATGATGTATTTGCAACTTATTCAAATCTTATTACATATATTCATAAGTGCAAATTTGGAATAATTATATTAATAAAATCAAGGTGATATACAGGTGGTGAACAACAGAAACCATACATGAAAAAGGCCTTTAAAGCCAAAGTAATAAATCACACTTATAAAAGTAGCTACAGAAGGGAGTCATATTAGATGGAATGTCAATTGGTAGTATGTGTAAGATAAAAACTATCAACACATTGATCTGTGACTTTTTCAAAGCAACACGAGGTTAAATTAATGGAGTTAGACAAGTAACTAATGCTCAAACTGCACGTGCATGGGTCACAAAAGCTGTTAAATTAACAGATGGAACAGTCTTAAAAATCATGCCAGCATGTGTCAAAAAAGCAAACTGCATTCTCAAAGAGAAAAATTAGCTGCAAGTTCACTGACAGAAATAGAAGGCCACTTAAGAGGATAATTGCTAAACCCTACCAAAGACAATTCTAACCAAAGAACTGAGTTGGGATCTCCTTGTCTTACTGACAACTAAAAATATGTTGTGACCATCACAAATCTGTAATGTATAGCAGGGCTGCTCTTCAGAAACTGCTTGTATTCAAGTCCAACGCACAAAGATGCAAACCCTAGGTTAAGGAGCAAAAAACATGCACCCCTGAAGAACTGAAAAAAATGTGGTCTAATTACTATAGCAAATGGAACTGGAGGATGTTTTTCAAGACCAGATGCACCCTATGGTGCAAACTCTGCTCCCTCTTGGTTTCCCCGTACTCCAACAGTGGTTTCGTAAACAGTAGGATAAAGTTAAAAACCTTCTATGGCCTTCATAATCACCAGATCTCAAGATGATTGAACTTTTATAGAAATTCTGGAGTATAGAGCACACTGTACTTGTCAACCAGAAGGTTTTTCTTCTTGAAGGTTGACCCAATATTCCATTATATAGTTATACAGATCTATATCAGAATTCTAATAAATATTGGAGGTGTTATGAAGGCAGTGGTCCAACTCATTATTTCATTAATTATTTTAAAATTTTTTATATTATTTTATCCATTATTTTGTATATAATGTGCACCAAATGATGGGTTGTAATATCTAGGGGTGTGGGTACATCAGAACACTATAATATAACAGTATTTTAGCCAAAATCTGCAAGATCTTGGACTCTTCCTGTACTGAACATTAGAAATCACAAAATATTACATGATACTTTATATGCTGTAATTTTGTACTGAATCCTTCTCAGACTAAGAATTCAATGTTTCCACTCATTATAAACCCCCTTTATAAACAAAAACATGTTGTTTAGTTTCTAACTGATTTGATGTAAATGCATGTACAGCTCACATATTACTTCAAATTATAAAACCTCTCAGTTTATACAACCTTTATTCTACAAACATACAGACTACTTTGTCCTTTGATCTTGTCCACCAAATGAACTAAAATCATCTAACAAGTACTATATAAAAAGAAAAGCCAGCCATACCAGATTGCGGCTGCTCTTTCATGGTTCCTTCAATCTTTGGTAAGGCTGTTGTTAGCATATCTCCACTGTAGACACCGGTCCCTTCATTAATCTTAGTTTCCAGGTCCATAGCTTTTATCATATCTGCTGTGGCTGTGTGGATCCCTGTAGTAGATTCTTCAGTGAAGCGATTTGTAACACCCATAACTCTTTCGGTTTTAGCAAAGACAGTAGTTCTCTCTGTCATTTCAATGGGATATGTCTTAGTGGTTACAGGTGTCTGCAATTTTTGAGCCTCAGTTGTTGCGGTTTCTTCTTGAGGTGTAGAAGGATAGTATTGCCAGAGGGTAAATAAGTCACCCCTGGGGAATGACTCTACCTGATTCTGTGGAAAAAAATCTTCAAACAGGGGTGCCATTGTGAATTCACTGTATTTTCCAGTTTGGAATGAAGCTGCTGTGGGAGATCCACGAATAATGCTGTCTGTCACTGTCTGGCGTGGAATAGCCATGCTTGTTGAAAACATAGAAGGTGGCTCTGTGAGAACCTCAGACGTGTCTGGTTGTAAATCCTCAGCTCCATCTTCAGAAACATGGGAGGAGATCCTGGCTCGAGTTGTATCAGGAATAAAAGTAAACCCGAGCTCCGATGTTGACAATCTGACATGTTCTGCTTTGGGAAATTCTTCATACTTTATGTCTTTTGTGTCCTTCGGTATAGCTGGTTTAGAAGTTGGTTTAGAAGAGGTCCTGTCCACAAAAATTGAAGATGCAGACAGCTTGGCAGATGACCCTCCCAGCCTTTGTGAAGCTGTTGTTTTACTTTTCACAGCAACATCAACCCAAGTTATTTGGTTTGCAGGTATTTTACCTAGATGTAAAAAAATAAAGAAATAATGTACAATGTTTATAAAAACTACTTACTTATACTACATACTACACATGCACCTATACAAAGTTCAGTGGTACCTCAGAACTCGAACTTAATCCGTTCAGAACTCGGGTTGGAATCCCCAATTAATTGGTTCCCGGCCCCAAAAAATTACACCTAAATATGTTTTTTTTAGCATTTAAACAGAAAATGAACAGGATAAAAGAAGAAGAGCATATACTGTACTAAACACATCTAAGCACATTTATCAAAACAGTAATTTGTAAAGTAAGAAAATAGATGTTTCAGAACAATGTGTAAATAAAAAAAAAAAAGCCAATGACACCTTTTTCATAAACCCAGACACAGCACTACTACCTTGAGTCATACTAAGAGTTTGTATTTAATGTAGGAACAAAAGCAAGACATTTCAAAAATTTAGATAGTGTAGCCATGTGGTCCATTGTTTGCTTTTATTATTACTCTGTATTTGTTAATTTGTTGGTAAATCATAAACATTTAGGTTGTAACATTTGTACAACTATTGCATAACTTTTTGGTGAGCAATGGCTACCAAAATGATATAAAGTACAGTGTATTACCTGATATTTTCAATAAAAAAGCACTATATTCAACAAACGATGCTATCACAGCAAATGCTGATGCTGAGACTGAAGCGTTAACCTTTGTTTCCTCTGAGAGATGTGCCGCGTGACTCATTTCCCTGCGCGTACAAGTTATCTTAGGTTGGCATTCACGGTTCGACTTCTGAGATTCAGATCGAGTTCTAGGTCATTTTTTTTTTCGAACTGGTTGGTTCAACTTTTAAGAAATTTGAGTTCTAATGAGTTAGAGTACTGAGGTACCACTGTACTTCTTCTTTGCTGACTTGGCTAAATAAGCCAAGTCAGAGCTTAACAATGCTAATGATCAATAATGATCTCTATAGGCCATAAGCATATGGTTATAAGAATCTTTTATTTGTATTATGAAACACTACTACAACATTAGAGGGAATGACACTGTACTCAAGTTCTGCAGACTGTCATTATTTACATCAAAACATAAGCTCTTTTAAGGCATACTAGCATTTCTGTCTTCCTTAGCATAATATTTCAGTTATGTTAAGATTTAGTGATTAATTGTCATTGTTCACACCACAACGAAATGTGTTCATTGCATTTAACCAATATGTGACAATGTGACATAGCAGGAGGCAGCTAATTCAGCACCCAGGGAACAGTGCTTGGGGGTGGTACCTTGCTGGTCAGGGATTGAAACCTGCAATCTTTCAATTACAAGTGCACTTCCCTAACCATTAAGCCACCACTGCCTACAGTGCATAACATATAAGTGCAGAACAAAAACATAAATCCTGAAAAACAATGATGTGTAATGAATATAATCATGACTAGTGGACAGAAAACATGTAACTTGGTATATGTATGTCATATTCTTTCTGAATTTACATATGAATCATTAACATATGACTTTTAAAGCTGAGTTACCTTTAAAGCAGTAGGCCCCTAGTTTTAAGTTGTGGCTAGGAAAGCCTGTCTGGTTATGATAACGGTACATGGTCCTTACTCCCAGAAGGCCACCTCCACACTGGGACTTGCGTTTAGAAACTGGGTATCTGGCACTTCCGTCAGACAGCCATCCATAGTCGCATCTGTCCAGACCCTGACGCCAGGCTGCATGGAGCTGACCGGGGGAGGCCAGGACAGCATTCCTCCGTTTGCACTCCTCTTTAGCCTCTTCTAGGGTCATCTTGTAATTGACAGGTGCGTAAAAAACCTCACCTGGAGATACAAACATATATAACAGTTGAATAGCCAAGTGCTTCATCTAAATTACTCTAAAATATTAATACATCTCTAAAATATTTCACATAGAGGTGGTGTGTAACTCAATGGATTAGGATGTTGTCCCTAATGGTTTATAGAATGATATTACCATTGGGCCCTTGATACTGTATGCTCCAAGGACTAGCTGACCCTGCTCTCTCAAATGTATCTACTAAACAGATACATTTGGTAATGGAATGCCAAACATACTGTATAGGCTGCTCCTGAGTAATGATAATGAGGCGATTGCCATAATGAAATCTGTTGTCTTGACAACATGCAAAAGAAACGTCTCAATCAGTCCATCTTCATAAGCACTTAACCAGCACCGGAGCATTCAGAGCCAGTATCGCATCTAGGAAGCCAAAAGTATGTGGCACTCTGCCTTGCACCATGGGCAATTAAATGTTACCAATCTGCCTCGCTGCATTTTTTTGTCATTCACGAAATCGACATTTTGTCTACTGCCTTGTAAATAACTCAGTTAGATGATCATATGGTCTTGTGTAATTGTGTGATATGAAATATACATATGTATATATACAGACATACACACACACAGACGCTGGGATGTTGACCAAGCCATCAGAAAGTTGTACCACTGCAAATATTTTTGGATAAACTGACACACATTGTGCACTTTGCAATTAACCCAGAATATGTTGTTATTATTATGCAAATAATGAAATTATGTTTTAGTGTTTTGGCAAGACATCGGCCAGGAACAAAAATCTCATAAACACAATTATAAACAGCACAACATGAGTAACAGTAAATACCTGTGCAAGCTAAAACGATTCTTGGCTTTTAGAAGTTATATATCAATGTAAACAAAGATTACAAATAATTTATGGATTTTTTGATTTGTGTGACAAAAATAATGTGAAAATTTGTTGACCAATAAAATGTATCTTTCTAAAACTTTTCCAAGAGCTTGTCCAGTACAGGATCACAGCAGTGCCTGAGGCCTCTTGCAGGCAGTTCGTGGAACAAGGCAGAGCAGTAAAACAAAGTAATTATTTTTCAATATGATTTTTTAATGAAATGAGTATAATTATTTTGAAACATGTTCATCTGTTAACATTTTAGCACTTTCAATGGAGGTGAGGCACCTGCATGAAGTTGCCCCCCATGTGTTTCAGATTTCAACCAAACTGGTCTCAATCGTATGTGCCGCGTTTGTGCCGGATTGTGCCGTTAAAATTTTTGTTTGTGCTGTTTTAGTTTCTGAGATATAAATGTGTGTTTACATGGTGACGTCATCAGCGTGAAGTTGCCCCCCCCATTTGCGTCATATTTCCACCAGACCGATCGCAATCGTGTGTGCTGCGTTTCTGCTGGTTTGTGCCGTTAAAACTATCCTTTGTGCTGCTTTAGTTTCCGAGATATTAATGTTTGTTTACATGGTCACGTGACACCAGCGTGTCTGATTTCCACCAAACCGATCGCAATCGTATGTACTGCGTTTGTGTTGGCTTGTGCCGTTAAAACTGTCTTTTGTGCTGCTTTAGTTTCTGAGATATCAATGTTTGAAATGTTGTCCCCCCTCCCATTTGCATCTGATTTCGACCAAACCGATCGCAATAGTTTGTGCCGTTTGAAAGTTGTCTGTATTGTTATTTTTCTGAGTTATATCTCTTAGTTTATGCCTTTACGTGATCGCCGTATAGTGCTCAGGCTTGTGTTTCTCATGTTAACGGAAAGTGGAGCGTTTGATGACTACGCGACAAAGCTGCACGTAGACTTAGTCAGCCCCGCCAGCCAGATACTGCATTTTAGGATCATGCTAGATATTTTCACAAATGACCGCCAGTTACATACTGCCTCATTATGTGCAGGCTTGACCCAGGTTATCATCTGTTCTACCAACTCATCACAACACAGTACGATTCCTTGAGATGTAAAGATTCTTAGGAATGTGTAATTTGGGAGTGAAAAAGCAAAACAACAGTATGGAAAGTGGCTCTTGCAGTGTCAAAAGTGATTGTGTGCCATTAACATCAAAAGCACATCACAGAACCCTAAATTATATGCAGACGTACATAGCGTTTTGCTACAAGGTAGTGAACACCCCAGCACCAAACGCGACCAGTTAATGCTTAATACTGTATAACAATGTATAATAAACTCTTGTCATTTTGCCTGCACTGTGTATTTGATGTCTTTACCTTCCCATGGACCCTCTTACTTCTTGCACATGGCGATTACATAAAAATGTCCAATAATGAAGTTTTACTGTCTTTGTAAAAATATAGCGAAAATATGTTTGTCTATGTATGAATACGTATGTATGTATGTGTGTTGAGGGGTTAAGCATATAATCACTTACTAATTTGGTTAAGCATATAATCACTTACTAATTTTATAACAATGTAGCTAATAGGGGTTAATCATATAATATCTATTAAGAACGTAGCTAATAGAGTAGTATCTAACATAATGTAGACAGTGGACATGGGAACCGATGTTAGGCCGGCAGGATGGGGTGATCTCACCATGCAGTTTGGAAAGATCAGGAACTGACAGCACGCCAGCAGGTCAGGACGACCATGCGCGAGATAGCAGGAAAAACAGGAACCCATCTTACAACGGACACTTATTTTCACTTATGCTTAACAAAAAGGGGGAAAACATGCACACACTGACTAATCGGAACAAAAGTCAAAATATGTTGTGGTCACGTAGGTGGAAAGCACCGAGAAGGGGGGCAGCACCCCAGAAGGCCAATAAGAGGGACAGACCTGACACCGAGGGTTTGAGCATCTTCTTGTACATGCTGATTGTATGACGGATAGTTGCTCCCAGATTGCAATCTGTTAGAGAATAAACTGTGACTTGCAACTACTCCTCGACTGTGCTGTGAATCTCTTCTCATCAACGGACCCGGCGGAGCTCTGACTCCAACAGTGTGTATAGTTAATGAACAGGTATAGACCTCAAAAATAATAACCCAATTTCCCAATAACCCAATGCCCAATTTCTAAAATGGCATTGCTCACGTGAAAATACGGCGCCCACTTATTAAATAGCAGCATAAAATGAATACAAAGTGCTACATATGAAACGCATATGGGTGTTAGCCGCTGAGAACCTGAATTTATTCAGCATGATCTTGAAATGTGTTATCTGGCTGGCGGGGCTGACTAAGTACGTGCAGCTTTGTCGCGGAGTCATCAAACGCTCCACCTTCTGTTAACATGAGAAACACGAGCTTGAGCACTATACAGTGATCACGTTAAGGCATAAACTAAGAAATATAACTCAGAAAAATAACAATACAGACAACTTTCAAACGGCACAAACTATTGCGATCGGTTTGGTCGAAATCAGACGCAAATGGGAGGGGGGACAACATTTCAAACATTAATATCTCAGAAACTAAAGCAGCACAAAAGACAGTTTTAAGGGCACAAACCAGCACAAACGCAGTACATACGATTGCGATCGGTTTGGTGGAAATCAGAAACAAATGCGGGGCTGACTTCATGCTGGTGTCACGTGACCATGTAAACAAACATTAATATCTCGGAAACTAAAGCAGCACAAAGGATAGTTTTAACGGCACAAACGCAGCACACACGATTGAGACCAGTTTGGTTGAAATCTGAAACATATGGGGGGCCAACTTCATGCAGGTAAATGAGGCACCTCTTTATCACTTTGATATTCAAAATTATTTATTTAGTTCCATTTGACTTTTCACACCTGCTTCTCCGGCTTGTGTAATCAAGACTTTTCTCACCTTCGAGTTTGTCCACATAGCAATATACATCATACGTCTCTTTAGGGTCTCGAACTCCATATGTTCTGACACCAGGTTTTCCCATTTTATCTCCATAGCAACCAGCCCTGGGTTTTGTGATTGGATATCTTAATGGAAGATCAGAAATATTTAGTTAATTTTCTTTAATCAAAAGACCAAAGACACTCACAGTCTAGCCAAAAATTATTGTTTTTTGTTAAAAAATTGCTAAAATTAAGTAATAAATTGCTGCAAAATATTGTTAAACCAAATCACAGACTGTACACCTTGTTATAGTACAGACTATATGAACAGAAATATCTTACCTCACTGTCTGGTCTGCAGTCCAGCCAGCATCACAGTGGTCAAAACCATCTTCATAGGCTGATTTTAGCTGGGCAAACGTGGCAATTGAGGCTCCGATAGACTGGCAAGTTTTTACAGCCTGATCATAATTCATACTATACCTGCTGGTGTTTGCCCGGTAGTGAAACACAACACCTGTACAAAATCCAAAGATATCTTTAGCTTAGGATTCAAGGTTGTTAAGCAGAATTTGCATTCCTCTTTAACAACTATCTGCTTAGTTTAGCAGTACTTGTATCTGGATGGGGTCCTTGACAGGTGAATGCTTGTGGTGTAAGTGTCAGGCAAATTTAAAAATGTAACGTGATGCACATTGCATTGTGAGAGTGATGAGTCTAGTTTGAGTGGCACAGTGTTTTTTTTTTTTTTTTTTGTTAGCATTGCAAACTCACACTTCCAGAGCTGGGAGTATGAAACCTGCCTGGTGTGTGTCTGATGTTTACATGTTCTGCCCCACATTTATGTGGATTTTGTCTGGGTATTCTGGCTTCCTCACATATTTCAAAAATGAACATTTAAGTCAATCGGTCAATTTTCTATTAGTTTGTGTGTGTGTCCTCTGATTGGCTGACATCCCATCCAAGGCGTCCCTTGTCTCAGGCCCTATGCTTATTGCTCCAGGGTCACTGACTTTATTTGACATGGAACTATAGGAGACAGCTGGATGAATGGGTGCCACTAGTTCTACATTGTACTTCATTGCAGTACAATGTATCTTTGACCAGCCATTGACTTGGCCTTAAGGGGCTTCTCTATAAACAATGGTTAGAAGTAGAATGCTGCATTAGTGGTGTTGGGTCACCTAAAAATGGAGTTTTGTGTTATCAAGTTTTCTTCAACACCTCTCAGTTTGCCAAAGCACCATTACAGTACAGAAAACTCATATTGATATTTAGAGCCATCCTTTCCCTTAATAATCTGTTGTTAGCTAAACCAAATGCTACTCATTCTTATTAAAATCTGCATTTCTGAAATGTACAACTGGCATTATTTCAGAATTCCTGAAATAGAACCACAATCATGTAAACGCAACTGGACACCTTAACTAAAACTATTACAACTACTTTACAATGAGGCTAGTAGATCTCATACTGAACATGAAGAGGGTCCATGGTTCATTGAATTGTTCACAGATTGTTAACATTCTTTGTCTACTGGTTGTGATATTAAGAGGCTGGGAAAAGTGCTGTTCAAGCTATTCAAGAACATGAGGATAGCAAACATGGATAAAAATGACTGTAACTGTTTCCTTAATAAATGCATTGGTCCTCCTCTGATCGCCTGAACATATTATTTAGGTGGAGGGTTATTGCACAGTGAAATGATATGGTTTCTACATATGATTAAGATTATAAACTTATGTTTTAAACTAGGTGCTGAATCATAATTTTATTTAGATGCTGTATTTTTTACAACTGAATGCTTCTATCCACATTAGTTTTGTACTGCCTTTTCTGTAAATTATCCAATGCATATTTTTAAAGGTGTGACGTGAAGCAACACTGTCTTTGCAGAAGCTTCAAAAAGACCCTCTGGCCTCATCATGAAGTAGCTATATTTTATACTAGTCTGTCTTATTTTTTATGTATATAGCATAAGGTTGTAATATCATTATCCTATGAGATCCTTTATCTATCCATCTTTTTCCATCTAGTATAACTGTTTATCTAGTAGATAAAGAGTTGAGAACACACAGGTCACCCTAGATGGGATGCCAGTCCAACCCTAAAGACAATTTAGGACCACTGGTTGGCCTACAATAACTGCACGTTTTTGTATTATAGGAGAGAACAGGAAAGTTGGGAATGACAGCACCATCATTGTGAACCTGCCACTGGGAAGTCCAGGACTAAACTGCCACCAACTGAGCTGCTATGCTACCTTCTTATCAATACAGACCCTCTTATTAATACAGACTTACACCAAAATAACCCTCAGGTGGGCTTGTGATAATCTGCGTTATTGATGCACTTGAGTACTGTTTGCTCTGTTTCTGTAGGATTTCTTTCTGTTGTGCACATTTAAACATCCAGTACTAAAAGATTAATAGCCAAAGTAGAAATTTTGATCTACGCACAAAAAAGTAAAATATGTCACCTTATAGTTCTAATGATGCCCACAAAAGAGTATTATATATTTGATCTTGGAGTCCATGAATTTTATAATACTTGCTGTAGTGCCATTTTCAAATAAAACACTGCTTAAAAGAAAAATAAACATTCTTACCATTGACATCCAAGGAAACGGTGTCCTGCTTATCCTCAACACCATACATGATTTCACAGCGATATCGCCCTGCATCACTAGCACGCAGTTTGACTATCGTCAGGGAGGCATCCCCAATGTCCTCAGGGTGGCTGGGGATTGAAATCCGTTTCCTGTAGCTATATGCAATTTTAATCTTCCCCTGCTGTGCCACCAGAACTGTACTTTCGGTATCACCCTCCATCCTTGTCCATTTGATGCGCAAGTATTCTGTCCTCCCAGTGCTGTTGATGATGGGCATAGTGGTGGGGAAAGCATTAAAGTGACAGGGTAGGACGACCCTGCCCGAAAGAGAGCCGCTGATAGGGTTCAGTTCCAAAAAAGTGCCTGAAGTGAGTGATAAAGAAAAAGTTAACGTACAAATGTTACTCACATAGTCTTATATATTTAGCAAGTATTTTCAGTAATTGTATGTTCTTTCACCATCTTTACAGGGTTACATGTAACTAATTTTTTTTTTTATTGACTGACCTAATCACTGTTCTTTTAAATACAGCCACAGAAGTTTAGTTCATGCTGGATACATGTCAAAATAACCAGGTCAGCTTAAACCTGAAACATTACACCTAATATACATGATTGGAATATATTTCATATCTTACCATCTACTGTCTGGTGTACATAAAATAACCACCACAGGATATGTTTTATGTTAAATAACATCCTTGGTCTGAAAAAAAAGACATAAATAATACATCAATAAGTGTTTCAAAAAGTCATATTATATACTACTACTATAAAAGCAGTTTCTGCATCTATCCATTTTCCAGACAGCTTCTTAAAGTTAGGTAGTTATAATAATTATTTGTTATAACAACAGCAACAGCAAAGCCAACAGATGCCTTACAACTAATTTATCCTCCCCCTGTGCTATGATTCAACAATTATTAGTCCAGAATAAAGCTCATGTAACCCTCCTTTATGAGATGGTATGAATCCAAATACAAACTGAGCAATGGGCAACATGGAACCTTTAGGAGATCAGCAGATGGGTATAAAATATGACTAAGTTTAAAAAAGATTATTGGACAACTATCAAGCATGACTGTGCCTTCTAACAAAGTGGGAGGAATCGGGGCAAACCGGGGGAGGCTGATGAAGAGAGGACCCTTTACAGTTTAAATCAACTTTGAAGGAGCAGTAGAACTTTGGTCAAAGAACTGAATCAAAAAGCACTGCATACATGTATACTCTATGTAAAGATGCCAGAAAACTTCTCTGTTTAAAGAAGCGTTCATGAAGCATCGTCTAAGATAACTAGAGAAGCAAAGCAACACTGGGGAATGTTTATAGTCTGAAGAAAACCGTTATAGTGTATTTTAGTTACAAGAATATTGCACATCATTCAAAAAAGAATCTCTGCTTTAAAGTGTGGTATGGCCAGCATGATTTTATGGGAGTGGTTAACTTAATTAAGGAACGGGATCATTTGCAAAGATAAAACATATGCTTGATATTGTCAAATATAGACAGTTTATTGAGCATCTGCTAGCCTTTACCACGAAATTGAAACTAACAGTGCTCTATATATCAATGAACTAAAACACTGTAAAAACAAAAGCAGAGTTCCAATAATGCTTTCCGATTCCGATAATTCTTTCAGTCAGAAAAATGTCAGCAGGTGATGTGACAGAAATTGTGTCAAATCCATTTCAACACATAACAAAGACCAGAAAAATTAACGTCTGCATCTTCGTTTACGAGATTTTAATGAGCCGATAGCTACAGTATATAGGATTCACTGGAAAACAGCGGATTAAATAGTGAAGCAAATCATGAAACATGCTTTATGCTTCGTAAGGGGCGAATGAGAGTTAATTGAAACACATAACAGATTATATATATTCTCTCTTTTTTCTCAGTATTTATACAGAAAAACAGTATTTAGAATTGCAATAGTTTTACGTTGACTCACTAGTTACATTTCAAACTAATACTCCAATTGGTGAGAAAAACACATTCTGGGAAAAAAACAGAAATAATTTATTTTATAGATGAAATATTAAAGTTTTCTCCTCTAAAACTATAATAATAATAATAACAATAATAATAATAATACCTTTGACAAATTTGTAATCCCATAAATGAGTTTCAGTTGTATTAATAATTCCAATGTATTAGACTGTTCCCTTCCATTCAGAAGTCGCGTGTTGTGCCCGCGTGCACAGCAATTCTAACAATTCTCCTGATTATAGTGCATTGAGGACTCTTCTTGTTTGAACGGAGAAGGAAGTGTCTAACTTCAATTCGCAGATTACACTGAGCTCACTTCGTATCCTAACCATGGAAAAGCCATTCGGCTCTTCGAATTCAAATTACACCCACTATAGTTTCGTCACGGTCCCCAAGAGGAGGGGCACACTACCCCTTCTGTAAGCTGGTACCTCCTAAAGTAGGAGTCGAAGGATGGGTGGTTGAAAAAATACCAATATAATTTACATAATAACCAGAATAATTTATATAGATAGATAGATAGATAGATATGATTATAAGGAGGCAATAAATATGATAGATAATTTGATTTCTGGTGTGAAGCAAAATATTACACTTAATTACTATATGGTTTGTGCCCATTGCACTTCAGATTAAGAGTCCTGAGGTGACCAGCATATTTCTGTATGCCTTGTACTACAGGTTTTAACATTTTAACATTTAAATTGAGTGATAATGCTGTTCAGTGCCTATTGTTTCCCTGTTCTTTGTCAATTTCATCAAGAACTCCAAGGTACAATAACTTTCCCTATGTCTTCCACATGGGGGAGAGACAGGGCTGTAGTTAGCTTGGCTATACTCAGCACCTAGTTTCTAGCCAATATGGTGTCCTAGGCTACCATCACCGCCGGCTATCACCCCCACCCCCGTTTCATTCAATCGTAGCTGAAATTGAGTTAAATGTCCTAGAAATGTTTCTGCATGTGTGAGAACCAAAGAAGGCAGACTCTCTATAGGTGTGACTTGTTGTACGAGTAGTATTATTACCTCTGGTAGATGATTGTCAACTAAAATTATTCTGCTGCGCCCAGCTCTGAAAAAAAAAATCTGTCATCACATGTGTATGAAAATGTGGCTGCTTTGAAGAAGGATCTGATAGTTAATGGAGAAGAACCATGTATCTTAAACGAAGAGCTGTATTTACAACAAAATGGGGTTAATCACTTTGTAAAAGTAAATAGCTGTTTTTAACTACCTTTAAATGTGGTTAGGTATATTTAACAAATTGGACAATATTTTTTTATACACTAGTGCCTTTTTCTACTCGGTAAGTCAATGATGTAGATATACGGTTTAAAAAAGGGAAACAATGAATTTACAATCATCCAAAATATACTATTTGAGTATAAATTGTGATGGAAATGTGAAGAGCTTCAGATCAGTCACAATTACATACTTCAGATCATACATGTCCCACCTCATTAATGTTGAAGCATTTGGGTCACCCTCTGACTGATATTTATTATGGAAACCTCATTACAAATCAGGAAACTTCGTACATAATTCACAAGTCAACAAATGAATATACTGTGAACTTTTATATACTGTATTTATTTTTAGTATTAATTACATATTGAATGTGGTTGGCATGATTTATAGTTATGAACCTGAGTGGAAATAATTTTGAGTGGAATGGAATGTTTTTCACACTTTGGAACGTTGTTATTCTATAGAACAAATATCTGAATCAACATCTGTTCCACATCTGAAGGATAATCAAGCATAAACAAATGCTATTGTGCCACACTGATTACTATGTGGGAAAAAGGTCAAAATCATAGAACTACAGTAATGGAAACAACCAGAAAACATTTGTTGCATGTATACAGTTTGTTAAATATGCATGGATACTAGAAGGTGTCAGTTGGACCTAATTTGGGGGGAGGGGTGCGATGTATATCGTGACATCGCAATGGACACACATGTAATAGTCACATAGTGAAAGGATGTGATGCCAGAAAGATGTAAAAATTATTTTAGACTAATAAAGATGTCATCTTTTTAAATATGACAAACACTAACCCTTATGATAAGATGTTTGTCTGACATACACCTTCGTTAGGTCTATGTCTCGTCCTCATGCTCTGCATGCGCAGTGAATTGGCCTCAGTGATGTGTGGCTTCATATTAAAAGATAAGGAACACAATGTTATTTATTCTTGCTATTGGAAGGGGGGACTGCCCAACCCCCCTATTTCCAACAGCCTTATGTATTTTATCACTTTTTTTGTACATTAATACTTAGATTCCTTTCATTATTATTATTTCATTTTATATGTGAAGCTACAATACGTTCACTGAGTTTTTTCTCCCTCGATATTGCACTGAAGGTTGTATATGTATGCAGGGTCGTAACTCTGGTTTGAGCATTTGGGGGTTGAGGCCTCCACCCTTTTAAGGGGGTTCAGGGTGGTGTATTGACAGTTGATTTGAGTTATAGTGCTCCCTATTGGGTGAAATTTGGGAAGTGGACTTTAGAATGTCATACCAACTACACAGAGCAAGTTTGGTGAGAATCAGATGTTCTGTTGAAATTGGTCCATAAGTTCAATATGGGCGCACCCAAGAAATTCCTTGGTTTGTGGCATTTGAACAATTTGCCTGATCAAAAAAATTTGTCTACATGGTCCCCAGATGCTACAGTTAGAGTTTTGTATGATTTGGATGAAAGGTCTTGGACATTGAAAATACATTTCTCACATTATGCAAATTAGCAAACAAATTAAGTAGTTGGAGCTTCATAGTCCAATTTGCAATATTTTGTTTTTGGGGGGAAAAACGCCCAGCTCCGGAGGGCTACATGCTGGCTAACCCTGTGTTGTGACTTGCATGTGTGTCTCATGGAGTGCAGGACTGGGTAGGAGAAGCGCAGCATTCTAATGTACCTGTCCTCATACTTGTGCATATAAAGAATTTTATCTTAATAACTGCCAGCACATTGTATCTATGCTATTTGCCCTAACTACTGTGTTTGTTATTGGCTGTTTATTATTAGTTATTGTTATTTGTTGTTTAAGTCTGGAGGGAGGTACGCAAGCAACTATTTCATTGTACATCTACTTATTTAATTGACAATAAAGCTTTTGTATCTCTTGGATTGTTGAATAGGCCTACATTTCATAAACATAATCTCTCATGTTGTATGCCAGAGAGACCTTTCAAAATAAGATATCATCTATGTCCCAGTGTCCCCGGGTTAATCATATGGAGTAGTTAGCTGGAAGAAAACAACAGATAAAGTCACACTGAAATGATCTCACAGGCAGAGGTAGCGAAATATGGCACGCAATCAAATTCAGAAATTAACAATTTTAGGAAGCTATAAACTCCTTCATGACATCATTGTCATGAATAAAAAGAACAAATCCACCTATTGAGAAAAACCTTCAGGCAGTTACTAACCTCAGAATGTTGTGTATCATCAGTACCTTTATGGGTGAGTAGCCTCATACGTAACTAACTCTAACTCCCCACTTCAGTAAAGGACTCCCATTCCCACAAAATACTCTTTTGAGTTTCTCTCTTGTGCTTCCCTGGGAAATTAGCTGTGTCTGAGTACATACAGATGTCTGAAGAGCAGATGCATCTATCACTTGGTGAGTAAGATAACTCACACTCTTCAGCAAATCAGAGGAAGCTAAGTGTCGACCCTTCGCTGAATCCGGCCTGACTGAGTTTAAAACTCTCACTGGTGCTCTTTAACACTCTTTATCTGTGAAAGCATGCGTATATGTTTCAGAACTTTGATTTCTTCCCACTAATGCAGAAATATCAATTTGCCAGACATCCAAGCAATCACAGTGACCTATCCGATAATCACAAAACTATTAAAAGGCCTGGTTAAAACTCATTATGTAAAATGATAGTTGTTAGTGTACAGAGGAACACTGTCTGATTATAATCAATATTTGAGCTATGCGTTAATTGTTGTATGGTACAAAGGGCCACAGAATGTATGACTGTTGATAAACTGCTTTTGGTTAATGTAAGACTTGGCCTTTTTTTTACAAGTCTACACTGTAAATTTTAACCTAGAAACAAACTACATGAAAGGATAAGATACAGGCCACATGAAAAATTATGAAGATTATCAGACTATGATACATTATCAATTCAAATTAAATACCAGCTCTGCGATTTTGCACTTCATGTTTGAATGGATCATCTGAAATAAATCAAAATTATGTATTAAAAGTGAAGCAATCTTTTGCACTATATCGAATCTAAGTTACATGCTATGCTGCTGTAACTCTCCCTGTTTGTAGGAAGAATGGGCATCAAGCCTGTGCCTGTCATTAGTTTCTGGTTTGAAACTCCATGCTAACGTCATCAAGGGCAGGACGGCCAATTTCACATCTTTTTTTCACCCCACCACCCTATCAATATTTTGCTCACAAATTTGAACCAGCGAACTCTCGCCCCAGGGCAAGCCAAGTATTAATAGAGTTGTTTCTATGAAACAATACAGGAAAATATATCTGCCATGGCGATTTATGTTGTTTAGATCTTGCTTTTACTTGCAGAGAAATGTTCACTTCAGCTTTGCCATGTTTGCTAAAAGCAGCAAATGGTGCATGTTTGTCACTAATAAGACAACAGTACTGATAGCAGGCTGACTGACTGAGGATGAAGGTTGTTTTAACGTGCACCAGCCGGCTGCCATTTGCAGCACAATGTTAATTGTATAAGGAAAAAAATCTTGGCACCCAGAATGAATGAGGTAAAACTTTCTACAATTGCTTCCATGCTTCTGGCCCCTGGACCATAAAGAAAAAAAAAACTTTTCACATTGAAACGCACCAGTCCAGAAAACATGGTAGTCAAGGGTAGTAGTAAACAACAAATAACAGCATTGTTCTCTGCATGTATCTTATGCAGAAAGAAAGAATAATATTTAAATCCTACCCTCTCGTTTTTTTTATGAAATATATATAATTTCACTGAAACAAATCACTCATTACCTGTATACTTTGCTATTCGGGAACATTATCAATTTAAAAAAAAAAAAAAAACAGCGCACATATAATCACATCCTTTTAAACGGAAACAATAAGAAGAATCTTCTGTAATTATGTGTTTTTGGGGACAAGTGAGCGGCTGCATGGTGGTGCAGTGGTTCACACTGTCACTTCATACCTCTAGAACCCGGGTTCTAGTGTCTGCCATGGCTCCATGTGTGTGGAGTTCATGTGTTCTCCCTGTGTTGTTGTGGGGTTTCGTCCAGGTTCCCCTCACAGTCCAAAAATATGCTGAGGTCAATTGCCATTGCCAAAT